AAAACGAAAAAATCCAAAAAATCGAAAAAAAACCCAAAAAATCACAACAACTGCGGCTAGTTGAAAATCTAGTATGCATAGGTTGAAATAAAATACAAACATACTCTCTAATAGCGAATTCCATAAACTATAAGTATGATTAAAACTCAAAAATCCCCAAAAAATCCAAAAATCCGTTAATTTTTGGTTAATTTTTGTCTTTTTTCGTTATTTTCCGTTAATTAAAGGAAAATTAACGGAAATTAACCTCTGTCCGCTATTAACGGATCTGGGTGGCCACCTCTAATAGGCACTAACAAAAAGCTACTTTCTAGGTCGGAGACCGGGTGCTGCTCAATACAACCAATATCTCCACGGGTATCGGAGAGCACAAGCTAGCGGATCGATTATGCGGCCCTATGCACATAACGGAGGCCATCTCGCCATGGGTATACCAACTAGAACTACCTGCCACGCTGAAAATCTATCCGGTCTTCCATGTGTCCAAGCTGCGGCCCTACCATAAAAACCAAGGACAATTTGCATCGTTAGAAGAGGTGCGACCTCCTCCCATGATAGTGGATAGCTGAGAAGAATTCAAAGTCGAACGAATCTTGGACAAGCGCATACGCTGAGTAGGACAAGAGAACCGGGTGGAGTATCTGGTTAAGTGGAGAGGGTACGACAGCTATTACAACATCTGGGAGCCAATGACTAATCTCGCAAGAGCAAGGCGGCTGGTGCAGGAATTGGAGGTCGAGACAACACCAGGATGACGACACGAGACAAGGGCGTCATGTAACAGGCCCGGAGGGATGTAATGGTGAATTACAAAAATTTGACATAATATATCTAGGCAGCGCGCTTTGTGTTACTCGAACACGCTCAGCTCAGGGGGCAGTGGTTCTTGGGGCCCAAATGGGGCAGGTTTAATGCAATAAAGGCCAGCGGGCCTTGGGGACCGACGGGTTAGTGACGGGAGAACAAGGGATGAACAAATTACAAACTGAAATCTGGCGGGTATGCCAGAAATAGAATGACTCATCCTATTTCTGGCATGGCCCCTGGGATACCCTGACGGTCAGGTATAAATACGGTCACGCCTGACCAGTTTGTAATCGAAGTTACTAGCTCCAATCCGACCTGACCGGTCCCGTGGCCCTGCCTGCCTCCTGCACAGTCGACCACGGACTTCACCAGCGCCATGCGGAATGCTGGTCATTTTGCCGCAAATCGAACCGTCCCCACCCACCTCAGTCTCGCACCACGCGGCGCCGCCTTAAAGTACTGTGGGTACATCTCACTTTCCGCGCCCACCCAGTCGCCCACACCGACCGCGATGGCGTCCACGACCGGCGCGCTGAAGCCCCTGACCGGCCGGTCCCGCCGGTCGCCATGCGCCCCCTCCTCGGCGCCCCGGCTGCGCGGTGGCCACCTGCCCTCCCGGGTGGCCAACGGCTGCCGCGTGCGCGCCTTCTTCAACTTTGGCAAGAAGAGCCTGCGCACGACCTCCGAGGACGCGGGCATCTACGGCAGCCAGGGCCGCGACGAGTACGGCTACGACGACGTGGAGCAGTACTTCAACTACATGGGCATGCTGGCCACGGAGGGGTCGTATGACAAGCTGCAGGAGATGATGGACACGGGGCTGCACCCGGTGGACATTCTGCTGATCTGGGCCGCCAAGGAGAACGACCACCCGAAGGTGGCGGAGCTGCTGGCAGCGGGGGCGGACAAGGGCGTGAGGGACAAGGATGGGAAACTGCCCGCGGAGCTGACGACCAGTGAGGAGGTGACGCGGCTGCTGGAGGCGGCCAGTTGACGGGATGGGCGGGGCCTGAGTGCTGGCATGACGGTGATTGGAGTTCAATCGTCGAAGGCCGGTTCCTGTTTGGCTTTTTGTTGGGGGGGAGGGGGAGGGAGGGGGCGCACTGCGTGGGCGCCATGCTGGCAGGTTGCGGTGAATGGCGCGGTCCTGGTTTTCGGCGATGGAGAGTTCCGGAAGGATGCCCATGGGCGGTGATGGGCGTCTGCATTGTTTGGGTGTTTGCATGGCGGAGTCACTGGCAGCGAGGAGTTGCGGCCCATTCTTCTGGATTGAGGGACAGATGAGCAGATTTTGGGTGGCGTTCACTGTGGTGCAACATTCAGGGGCATGTGTGCACATGGAAGAGATGTGTCAATTTTGAATGGAAAGGCAGCAGAAGACAGAATTTAGGATCAAAAGAGAAATTGCAGCGGGGGTTGCAGTTTTGTGCATCAATGCTGATGTGTCATCAATGGCAACGTTGTGGGGGGTGCTTTGATGCCACTGTTGCCAGAAGAGTCTTCAGGATACTAGTGCCCAATAGAAACGCAGCTGGTGCTGCAGATGACACTGCGCCAACACCATGAATTGCTCATAATCCTATTCACAACAATTGTTCTGAAATGTATCACACATCAGAAGGCAAGTCAGCATCAGGAGCTCTGTAAACAGTGACAACCCCACAAGCTAACCAAGTTTGTACTATTGTCAGCAAACACCAAGCGCACTCTGGGCAATAATGAGCTACGCGACAGAATATCCACAGCTTTGAAGCTTTGTGCTAGTGTCAGCAAACACCGAGCACACTCCAGCCAGTAATGAGCTAGGAGACAGAACATCCACAGCATTGAAGCATTGAAAGGGTTCACACGTACAGCATGTACACAAGCACATTAGCAGTAGTTGCCATTGAAGCCACAGTGCAAATGTGTGGGGATCTCTGCACTCAAGGAGAAACGTCAGCAAAGACTAAAACGAGTGCCCTCACCTGGGAACCCCTTCAATTGTGACAAGGTGGGGAGAAGCTTAGATTCAGCAATCCCCTGGGGTATCTTAGCAGCCTGGCCAGCGCCTGCTGACATCAGTTATGTCTGAGGTCTTCTGCAGTCACTGAATGGCAATGGTTGTCTTCACACCGAATTTACACTGTCGCAGTACAGCACAGTACAAAATGTGCTTCGCCAATAGCTGGAGGATACAGAATTCCAGAATCAGCAGTGAGATATCGGCACTGAATTCCATCAGCACACTGCAGCCCTACATCTCAGGTCCTGGCAGCTTTGTTGTTTTGCTTTGACGTTCATTTGGAAAGGATGTCATGTTGTCTGCGTGCTTTATGTTGGATGGGATCCTCCACTGTGGACAGTTGGGGCCTGCATTCCGGCACACGAAAAGAGTAGCTGCGACAATGGGAACACAAAGCAAGACGACCGGACATCAACAATCTGTTAACTATCAGAACGTGTTTTTCTGTTAAAAATTTTCTACACGTTTTTCAAATGACTTTCTCCATCTCTTCCAGCGCACAAAACGAGTTCCAAATGGCCTCATTGTTTCCAAGATTGAAAGGCACACAGCGAGGAACGGCACCACCCTCACCGAAGTGCCTCTCCGCTTCCCCCTGCGCTGCTCTGCTCCCCCTGGATCCGCGCAGAGCCCAAGCTCACGCGCAGGCCCGTCTTCCCGGCAAGACCGAGTCCTTTGGCGACGCGAGCCCGTCGTCGGCTCCCAGAAGTATGCAAATCTTCGTGAAGAGCCTGCGCGGCGCGTCGCTGCCCCTGCTGATTGGAGGCTCGGAGTCGGCTTCAGAGCTGAAGGCCACAGTCGAGGTGACCGCGGTGTTCTGTGAGAATGTCCCGTCCTGCTCGTGCGCCAGTCGTCACAGGCACTCCTCGACGCGGATTGTTGCCGTTGCTTGGGCCCCACAGGCCATAGTCACGCCCCTGCTGTCCTTCCGAGACGGACCGCCGCAGCCACAGTTCGGCCGCTCCCCGCGCGGCAAACCCCTGCGCCACCTTCAGCTTCTCATTACCCCGCCCTCTCGCTCAATTACCCCGCGATCCTCTTGCAGCAGCCGCGCTCATGTGCCCCGCCCCGCAGCGCGACAGAGCCTGTCCAGAAGGTGTCTCCGGACCGCTTGTTCCTCAGGGAAGATCCCCTTGCGCGCCTTCCCCACTCCGCGTCAGTTGCCTCCCGCCGCTGCGATCGGCTGTCGCGGCTCTGAACCCCCTCCCCTCGGGGCCTCACGCGTTTCCCCCTCCCGCAGGACCTCACCGGCGTGCCGGCCGAACTGCAGCGCCTGCTGTTCGCCGGCCGCGACCTGGATGGCGACTCCGCCCCCCTGTCACTGTCTGGCCTCCGCCACGGCGCGACGGTCCACTTGGCCCTGCGGCTGCCCGGCGGCAAGGGCGGCTTCGGCGCCCTGCTGCGCGGCCAGGGGCGGGACGGGAAGATTACGACCAATTTCGACGCTTGCCGCGACCTGAGCGGGAGGCGGCTGCGGCACGTGAACGCGGAGAAGGCGCTGGAGGAGTGGGCGGCGGCGGCCAAGGAGCGGGAGCTGGAGGAGCTGGGCCGGCTGCACGCCAAGCAGCGGGAGAGGGAGGAGGCCGCCGCGAGGAGGAAGGAGGTGGGCCTTGCTTGTGGGGCACTTTTGTTTGTTTGTTCCTCGCATTCCTTCCATATCCGCGTGGCTTCTTCGTTTGTGGGGTTTTGGTGGTGGGGTCTGTGTTCCTTGGTGATTCCGTTGATTGCGGCCGTGGGAGGGACGTGGGGGGCACTCGGAAGGGGTTGTTGGGAGGAACCGGGGTGTGGGGGTGTGGGGTGGTGATTTTGTAGTTGGTTTGCGGGTGCTGGAGATTGTTGGCTGGTTGGGTGCGCCCTGAGCACGGAGTGGTCTGTGAAATTTTGTCACTCGAGAGGAGGTGTCGCTCAGGCGTGACTTGTTTCCTTTCTGTTTAAGGACGGCCTTGGATTGGCCGATGCCTGTCCATGGCTTGCAAAAAGGAAACAGGTCAAACTGGGCAGTGGGTTTTGGACTCGACGATGGAAGTTTCGTCCACCTGAACAACGACTTTGAGACTCCTTTCCCTGTTGTGAAAGTTGGGTTAATGGCTACTGAATATGGCAAGACTGCCACAGCAAAAGTGCTGCAGCCTTGTTCCGATGCTTGGGCTGCCACTTCTAATCTGGTTGCAAAATGTTGTCCATGCAGATTGGAATGCCGGACATGCATACGCGCAGCCCTCATTTATCCAGCCCACCTCATGATTATGGTGGCTTGTGCACACAAGGATCGCAGATCCTTTTGAAGAAGGGGATAACTCACACCATGTGCAAGGCAGCAGACAGGCGCTTTAAACTTGACGGTGCTGGCGGAATTTCATTTGATAGAACGCCTGTGTGTTGTCATGCACCAAAGAAGAACAATAGCTACTGCATCCCGTTTGTCAGAATTACTCCTTGCCCATCGCAATTGCAGTACCCCAGCACCTTTCCCGTTGCCTCCCAGGGTGGTCCTGCGCTAAGACAACCAGTTTGTGAAACGACAGGTGGACGTTGATGGCATGCGACAGCAGCGAAAGGCTGCCATGGATGGCGTCAAGGCGGCTGTGGCAGCAGGGCTCTCAAGGGATGGAGCGGAATCCAGCAAGAGGCCTGCGGGGTCAACAGCCCTTGCAAGACCCAACAACAAGAAGCCAAAGTTTTATTTCCCCGACGAGGAAATAGATGATGATGATGGCTTGTCATCAGATGCCGACGACTCCTGCAACAATGATGGCTCTGCGGTGCACTCAATTGATCACAACAATGATTGCAGAGATGTGCCTGAACATGAACAAGAGCAACAGGAGAATGATGGATCTGAGGGGACTGTGGGCGTCGACGAAGCTGGGGATGGAGCAACGGTGAAGGTTTCGACACATATAGGAGCTAGTGGCTCTTGCTCGCAGCCTGTGGAACAAGGTTGAAACACTCGTGGCTTGAGGGTGTGTTGGAGTTTTTTTTGTGAACTATTCTTGTAAACACAGCAATGGCAATAGGGTGCTTTCAGTGGCCTGGTTTTGGTCCCAGCATTGGAAAAGAAGCTAAGCAATGTTAGCAGGGCGATTCCAAGGGGTTTGAGTCCAGGCCAGCATCACAGATACCCCCAGAGTACATCTGTACAGGCCTGCCCTGGTGACAAGAATGCGGGAGATGCATAACTTGCAAACAAGCCAGCAATGCTGCTTGCTCGAAGCTTGCATCCTGCACAAAGGAGATTGTGTATGGAAGTGTGGCTTTAAGCGTGCTGGAAAGTCCAGCCGCCGAGGTGCCAACGCCCTCACAACCGGATCATCAACAATGTCACGAAGCCAGCAGCCCATGAGGTATGCCCACAAGCCAGCCTGCATCTCGCAGTGACAATGTCTGCAAGGCATTCGTGCTTTAAGTTTGGCTTGCGAAATTGGATGGGAAAAGCAACTGCACAGATTTGCACGGCTGCAGAGAATGGTCGCCACACACCACAAGGCCCGCAACGAATCATTGTGCGCAGTCCCTAAAGGTCGCAACATCTGTGACAGTGGACAACGTCGTGGTAGAGGTGGCCAATGCTGTAAATGGCACCTGCTCCCGTGTCTGAAACCAGCTTCCTCACCCACTTGGAAGATATACAATAGCAGTTGTAACCCCAGCATCAGCCACTGGGGCCTCAACAATCTGCAGCTGAGTTTCAACGAGGTCGGAACGGCGCAGCAAGCGGGCATTACGGTTAGCAATATAAATATATGCGACGATTCGTTGGACCTACTGAACAGACAAGACCAGGTGGCACTGAACAGATATCGTCAGCTCAAACAGACCACTTCAGCTGCATCGCACACTCGGAAGGCCACTCGTCCAATAGCCAATCGAAGTCCTTCAAATGCTGACTGTCCCTAATACGGTGGAAGACATTCCCCAACCCCAACCCCAGACCCACACCCAAAACTCAAAACCTACAAGACAAATGATGCTGAAGGTCGCGCTGGACATGGGATTACTGAATATGAAGACACGGGTGAGTGCTGGAGATACGCCAGGGATTCCATGGGGTCATGGTCTTTGTTTAGGCACGTTTAGTGTTGCACGCATTTGTGAAGTCGATAACCAGCATAGCCACCCTGGGTAACTTCGACTCGAAGCACTGGCCCCATGGTTCACTCGGCGTGGGCAGCACCTTGTAGGTAGCACCTAGGCCATATCGATTTATCAAATTGACGCCAAGGAACCATTAGGAAGGGGGAAAGGGCCCAGTCCCATGGCGCTAAGTAGCTGTCACAAAATTGACACCAGCCAAGAACATGTCCTTTAAAACACCCTCCCCCACCAAAAAAATTGCTAAAGATAGGAGTCAAAGGTAAGGGTTCCGATCTAGCCCCATGGACGCACGGATTGCAATTTGGCATCGATTTTGAGGACCGACGCTGTGGAGGGTCTAAGATCTTTCTTTGGATTTGATGTGAAGCGTGCCAGAACATCGGCCGAGCGCCACACCTCACAGGACTGGCAAGTCCTAATCCAACCATGTTCTGGATCTGTGGGTCACCCAGCGCTGCCCAATTCATAATCCCACCGGCATGAGGCACGCGGCTGGCACCCCTGAACCTCTGCCTAGGGACCATGACTTGGGCAACCTTGGTACTAACCTTGGGTACGCATCACGTACCCAAGCAAGTGCAACCAAATTCTAATCGTATGTGCTACTCCAGTGTGCGGTGAGGTTGTAGAACCACACCTACACCCAATGCAAGGTTGGAAACAAGGCCCATTGATTCTGGTGGTCCGTCTTCCCCAGCTGCACAGCCACTGTGGAAATGTCATCATCAAGATCCCTAGGTGCAAGTGGCTTCGCAATGCCAACGGGGCGTTCACACATACTTCAGTTGGTGGCAATTCCATGAGTGCGGGTTGACATCCAACCCGCCTGTTTCGGGCTACGTGCTGGCAATCGAAGACATGAAATCAGTCAGGCACAGGAGTCAGGAATTGGCATCTGTGCCTGTGGACAGCAACGGGCATCAGCGGACGTGTGGGGTAGGTGGGTTGATGTGTCACATTTTGACAGAGCCGATGAGCGGCTGGGTTCTTCTCCTGCTGTTGTGTTTCCACTTGGCTGACCACCTCCCTCTGCGTGCACTTCGAATACCCCAGCTGCTCTACCAGTTGTTTAACGCTCGCAGCTCAGCTCGGGCACCACATCCACCTCCACACCCCTGTCGGTCATCTTGGCCAGTGGACAGAACCCCAACAATTCCCGATTCCAAACCCATCCGCATTGGACGTTGTGCACACCCGCATGCGGAATGTCGAAGCTGCGAGTCCTTCGCCGAGGGACGGCCCAATGTCGCGCAGTAGTCAGGCTGGCACAGACCGCCCCAGTACATAAGCCCTTCAGAGCCCGCCAGGAGTGTTCAGGAAGGCCTCGTGGCACTAATCCGCTGCGCGCCGGCTGCCTACTTCTGCGCTGGGCAACCCGCCTGGAAGCACAACATTTGCCCGCCAAACTGAAGCGTGCTTTTTTGACACCCCGCGGCGCGCCGAAGCGAACGACGCTCAGCCCCGGGCGCCGCCGTACGCCGCCCAGCCCCGCCCTCGCCCCAGGCGGCCGTTCTCCGCGCGCCCCTCCGGAGCGCCACTGCCGGGGGGGCCGGGCCGAATTTTGATGCCCCTGGGCCGGGCGTCGCACGGACAGACATGAAGGTTAAACTGAAGAAGTCCGTGGACATTGTGAGTGCCCCCCGCGCGGGCCTGCGGGCCGCCCCGCTCGGCGCGGCGGCGACCGCGGCGTGTTTGTTGTCCGGTGGTGGGGGGCTGGCCGCTGACGGGGTCCTGCCGTGTTGCGCCACAGCCCCAGGAAATAAAGGCCTTCACAGATCGCGTCCTCGCCACGCCCCTGGAAAGGATCGCGGAGGCGCTGGCCGGCTTCGTGTGGAAGTACGAGAAGGTGAGCGGCGGCCCGCATCTCCCTGCGCCCCACCGGCGCCGGGCCCCCCCGCTGACCCGGCCGGCTCTGATCACGGTTGTGAATGATGCATTTCTCGTGCCGGATTGGCGATAGGGCGACTTCTACCACTGGGTGCCCCTGTTCAACCGGTTCGATGAGTTCTTTGATGAGAACGTGCGGTCCCGACCCGACCTGAGCCTGAACTCTGCGGGCGGGGGAGAGGCCATCCCGCCCTTCCCCACGGCCAACACTCTCGCCTTGCTGAAGGTCACGGCCAGGATCCTGGAGAACTGCACCAACAAGCACTTGTACCAGTCCTATGAGGTACTCGCTGGGCTGCGTCCCTGTTGTGCTCACGGCAGGGGAAGGGGGGGCATTGATGGCTGGGTTGTTGGGGTCCATTTGCGGTGGCAAACATGCTGGCGAGCCGTCACATGCAGACCTCTGTGGGAGCCACTTGCGACGTTCTCTCCTGGGATGCGCAGTTCAAGTTCATAGCACCACATGATGGCAGATTGATCCATCTTATTGCCTTCCTCACACGCGGGTTTTGAGAGTTGCAGCAAGGGGAGAGGTTGCAACTCGATTTCGTGCAGTGCTGTCAAGGGTGGTGGAATGCACCCTTGTCTTCTGACGAACAGGACAGTTCCCCGCCATCCGCCTGTACGATGCCGGTCTGGGTTGAAGATGGAGTCCTGGGTTGGGTTGAAGCCTGAGAGTGAGCATCTGGTGGTGTGCCTTGCAGCACCTCACTGCGTTGCTTGCGGCACCTGATAAAGAGGTCGTGGTGGGGGCACTGGCGGCTTTGGTGGCCTTCCTACGGAAAACACATCACTCAAGCGTGCGGTTTCATGGCCACCCACAGTTGAATGCCCGGCTCTTCGACCTCTGTAGAGGCTGGGGTGGAAAAGAAGAGGTAATTTGTGCATGATGGCACCTTCGAGTGTCACTGTGTATTTGCTGTATCTGGTAAATAGCAGCATGGACGTGTGTGGGGGACACGAGGGGACTGGGGTGGGCACATCGTTGCTGTTTGTATGGAAGCAAATGCAAACGGGCTGCAGGGGCTCGATGTTCTGGTCTGCTTCTGGTTGCGGCTTGCACTTCTGCCAGCCATGCAATTGTGATGCACAGACAAGGTTCAGATGGTTACATGGCAGCAGATGCTTTATGGGGTGTATGCCTTTGGTGAATGTCAGCATATTGAGGAATGGGTAGCGCAGACTGCATTGTTACCCAGCTGACATCACATGGTGTGCATGCAGGGCCTTGATCTTGTAGCTTGTGCCAATCGGGATGAGAGCCACATCGAGAAGGTACAAAGACATGTGCCAATTGCACCCAGTGCCTGGAAACTGCCACGCTTGCTGTGTGGTATTGTTTCAGCCACAATCGCCTTTCTGGGGCCACACAGTGTCTTTTTAAATGGCAATATCAGACAGGCACTTGTCACAGCAGTGCACTTGCGGATCTTGTTTGAGTTCCATGACTACTGGCTGCCACACATGTTGATCACTTGCATTTTTGGTTTGTTGTGTGCACCTTGGAACATTTTCCACTCTTGCTGGAAAGTTTGACAAGTTGTGGTTGTCTTCTGTAGTTTGTGTCCAAGGGCACGACCCTACATTTCGATTTCTATGTGGAAACGGCACCCGATGTGGCTGCAGAAGATGGCGAAAGCAGGGGTGCAGGGGGTCTGCAAGTCATTCACATCCCGGGCTTGCACAAGATCGGAGAGACTGAGCACGAGCTGTTGAGGAGACTGGTCGAGAAGCATGATGTGCCACAGGAGTTGAGGTGTGGGCCTGCATTGAGAACAATGCTGTTTGCCAGTGAGAATGTTACTGCTACCTCTGGATGGGCGCATCCATCTGACATGGCAGGGAAGATTGTTGGGTTATGACTTGACATTGCCCCAGGTTGATACGCCATTGGTAATTGGGATATGCAAACTGTCAGGCCTCTGCTGTGCACCCTCCAGCTGTAGGAGATTCTTCTTTGCTCTTGAGCTATCTGAACCGCTATGCACCCCTGTGAACAGCAAGCATGAATAGGACCTCCTTGAGCTGGGCACGTGTGTGCGGCCACTGCTATTGTGCTCTTTGCATGGCAGGTATCTCTGGATTGTGGTGAACAAGAGTTGGATGCAAGGTCTGGACTGATGTGCTGGTTCTAATTCTGTGTGTGTTCGGTTTCAGGTTCCGCCTCCTGACACGAATTCGAATAGCCCAGGCGTTTGGAACTTTGGAAGGCAGGCGCCACCTGGTCAGGGTCAGACTGATGGCATTCTGTGTGCTTTTCCAATCCAACCCACTGCATGGTAAGACAGATATACATCAATGTCGATGTGTGGTTTCTTTGGACCTCATTGCAGTTTGTTTCCAGTCGTCTCAAGTAACTCATTGCTTGAAGCATGAAACACATCCACCAAACTTTGATTGCTGATGTCCATAGATTTGTGGCTGTCATTGTGGTGTGTAGTTTGCACTATCCAGATTGCATCTGAGCAGCATCTTGCTGTGTTGATCGGCAGCATCTTAATTGTACAAATTGATCAGTCGGCACTGAGGCTTAAGGTGCCGAAACTGCATCTCCATGTGATTGGGCAACAACTTTCAGCAAGGAGCCAAACAGCACCACATGGACACTGTCTCTAAGGCATGCCTGGCATGTGGCAAGCAGGTGACATGCTCTCTTTCTTCATGTCAGAGCCTGAGTTCATGAACGAGCTGGTTGGCCTAGTGCAAGCTGAGGAGGGCGTGCCCCTTGAACTGCGCACATACGCAGTCCGGGCGCTGGCTGTACAACTGGTCGACCGCTCACGGCACTCAGCTGTGATCAACGCAATTGGTGTTGGGGGCCAGAATGGTGTGCTGTCCATCCTGATGCAGGACTCCATAGATGACATAACGTCCAGCAGCAGTGACGCAAAGCCCAAGTACAATGCCCATTTTGTTGAGGCCCTGTTGTCCCTTGTTGGGGCATTGGTGTCGTCCTCTTCAGGCAGCGTGGCACTGTCAGAGGCAGGACTCATCCCCACGCTGCTGCCACTGATTCAAAACACCAACCCTGCACATGTGAGCCTGGTCTGCACGGCCGTGAAGATCTTGGAGGCGTTCATGGACTTCAGCTCCTCGGCGTCGGCAATGTTCCGCGGCCTTGGTGGGCTGACGTACATGATAAAGAGGCTGGAGTTTGAGGTGGGCCTTGAGGGGGGGGATCCCTCCACTGTGGGCCCATCAGCCAGCTCTCAGGGCTCGGATCCATTCCTGCAAGAAACGAAACGGCAGAAGCCCTCCGGTGCCGATGGCACAGTGAAACAGATTCCCTATGCCTGCCGGCTCCTGTTGAAGTCCCTCCTGAGGGCAATCACGCTGGCCAGTTATGCGCCCTCCAGTGGGACTGGCACCCGTCCCAATGATGCCGACTCACTGCTGCTGTACAAGTGCCTGGAGACCATGTTCTTGCGGGCGAGGGAGTTTGGCGGGGCCCTGTTCGCCCTGGCAGCCTCAGTTGTCACTGACCTCATCCACCACGACCCGCTGTGCTTCCGGTCCCTGCACGAGGCTGGCGTGCCTGACGCCTTCCTCAAGGCTGTCAAGGCTGGAGTCATCCCCTCCAGTGAAGCTGTGTACTGTGTGCCCAACACCCTGGTGGCACTGTGCCTCAACAACGTGGGGTTGGGCCGTGTGCGGGACACCCATGCGCTGGACTGCCTGGTCACAGTGTTCACCTCCCGATACTACCTGCGGGCCCTGTCGGGGGACACAGCCAACATACTGGGGGCAGGGGTGGACGAGCTGCTGCGCCATGTGCCCTCATTGAAGGAAGAAGTGATTGATGTGGTTGTTGCGATCTTCCGGGCGCTGTGCATACTGGGGGGCGATTCGGAGTTGCTGGCGCAGGAGGAAGCCGCTGTGAGGGAGGCAGAAGCGAAGGAGCAGGAAGCCATGGACACCGACAGCCGCCCGAGCATGGAGTCTGGGGAGGTGGCTGCTGGGGACGTGGACATGGGAACGTCTGAGGAGCCCTGTGACAGCACTGCAGTTGGGGCGTCCAGAGGGCAAGGTGAGTGCGCAAGCCTCTTTTGTGGCGTGGGCTTGAGTCAATAGGACTGATGTTCTGAGCTCTGGGTGAAGACTTGCAAGCAAATCAAGTGGAGCAGCAGAGCAGGTTTAGTTTGCACATACTGCTGCATCAAGGGCTTATCTTGTAGTTGTCCATAGAGAGATAGCAGCAGGAACCTTTTGCTTGTATTGGGAGTGCTTGTGGGATGCCACACAAGCAATCCCACACGACATTGTATTCCACTTCTTTATTACTATGATGTGGCTGATGTCCCTTCAGGCTCATAAGGCTGCAATCTCACATTGGGGGGACTAGTAACTGAAGCTACGAGTTCCAAGGCTAATAATGGGAGTGTCACAGTTTTGATTCAGTGCAAGATCGAGCCAATTGTTTTGAAACAAAGGACAAATGCCCAAGCAAGCACGTATGCAGGGAAACAGCTGTTCCAGTTCAAGGAAGCTAGGTTGTGGTGGGACATCTGCCATATGTTTGTGCCAAGATACTGAGTATTGGACCAACCAATAGGATTGTTTATTGCTTCAGTTGGGAGTCGACAATCTGGGTACATCCTGAATGTTTGTGCCTTGTACATGGCTTCAGGTTCGCTTGGGGGTGCCAGCATCAGCAGCAGCCCTGTGCGGCGGAGAGTTCCCATTCCTAGCGAGGTGCTTGAGCGGGGAAAGGAGCAGAATTCCGACCTGTGCCTACCTGAATACATTAGCCATGCAGCCAAGATGCTTGAGTCACTACTGTCAAACCAGGACAGTAGTCGTCGGCTGGTGGAGAACGGGGGTGTAGATTTGCTGCTGAGGCTATACAGGCTGCCCCGCATGCCACCCGCCTTTGGCTCTTCCTCCCAGTCGCACCCATTGATGTCCATATTCCGACCGCTGGCACCCAACCACTCACAAGTGCTGCCCAAGAAGGTGAAGCAGGCTCTGGCAGCGCAACTGGATGATGCACTGAAGGCAGCAGAGGTGGGGCTTGCAGTGACATGTGCAGATATAGCGGCATGCTTGTGCTCTCTCTGCTCTCACTGTTTTCTTTTGTTCCCTTCTACAATTG